GCCTGTAAAAATGTACAAAAAGTACAAGTGACTCATAATAATATTACATTTATTCTTACCAATGCAAGGAGCCTAAATAATACATTCATTATTGGAGATTTAAGTTCCCAGACATAAATTGGGATAGAAAGACTAGTAGTTCAGCAAGGGGAATCAGGTTTTTTAATCTGTTGAACTACACCTTCATGTGACAATTGGTACAAGCACCAACTAGAAAGGATGCTTGTCTGGATTTGGTTATAACAAAGCAGTTGATCTTTTGACAAACATTCAAGTAGGTGAGCACTTGGGAAATAGTAATCACAATATGGTGTCTTTTTGAAACAAACTCAAAAAAGGAAATGCACATGGGATATACTAAAACATATAATTTTAAAAAGGCCAATTTCAATAAGATCAGGGCAACTTTACAACTTAATGACTGATGTAAACTCTTTAGTTAAAAAACACAGATAAAAGGAATATCTTCGGAAAGTATAGTTCTCAGAATGTACCATTTGGGTAATAAATATAAAGTGAACCAATTGAAACCAATGTGGCTTAGTGAAACCAATGTGGAAGGTAAACAAAAAAATTAAAAATAAGAAGATGGCATTTAAATCAGCGGCATCCTATATAAGATATAAGGAAGCCAATAATGCATGCAAAAAGGTGATTAGTTGGGCTAAATAAGAAAATGAGAAAGTGATAGCCAAAGAGAGCAAAACCAACCCCCAAAAATGTTTAAAGGACCACTATAGTGCAAGGAAAACAAACTTGTTTTCCTGGCACTATAGGGTCTTTAGGTCCCCCCCCACCCTCAGGGTCCCACTCTCACTGGGCTGAAAGGGGCTGAAGGGGTTAAACTCTTACCTTTCTCCAGCGCCGGGCTCACTCGGTGCTGGGGAACCATCCTCCATCTTCCGACGTCAGAGGCGAATGCGCATGCGCGGCAAGAGCTGCACATTCCAACAGTCCATAGGAAAGTATTACTCAATGCTTTCCTATGGATGTCAGCATCTTCTCACCGTGATTTTCACAGTCAGAAGCGAGGAAGCGCCTCTAGCGGCTGTCAATGAGACAGCCACTAGAGGCTGGATTAACCCTATTGTAAACATAGTAGTTTCTCTGAAACTGCTATGTTTACAGCTGCAGGGTTAACCCTAGATAGACCTGGCACCGAGACCACTTCATTGAGCTGAAGTGGACTGGGTGCCAATAGTGATCCTTTAAGTATATAAATTCTAATAAAAACAAAACAAATGAAATTATAGATACACTGAAAACAGTGTGTTGGGTAATGAAGACCATGAAAAGGCAGAGATGTTAAATAACTATTGTTCCTCAATGTATATTAAAGATGAACCTATGGCAAGAGATATGCAAATGATTGTTGCAAAAAACTTTTAAAAAAAATTGTGATTTGATAGGCACTCAAATAGCAGATGAAATTTAATTAAGATAAATGCAAAGTTATGCACTTTGGGGGAAAGAATGCACAAGCAACTTACATCCTAAGCAGTAGTGAATTGGGAATAACACACGAGAAAGATTTGGAATTGTTATAGACAGCAAACGAGGCAGCAATGTGCAATGTCAAGGCCAGTGAGGTATTGTCATGTATAAAAAGTATATACATTTTTGTCTTTATAAATTAATGGTAAGACCACACCTTGAATATTCTGCTCTAAAGAAGGATAATATGGTACTCGAAAACGTGCAGAGGCGGGCGATAAAATGAATAAATGGAAAGGAACATTTTAGTTATGAAGAAATGTTAACAGTTTTAAATCTGTTTAGTTTAGAAAAACAGCACCTCAGAGGGGATACAATAGCATTATACAAATATATTCAAGGCTAATACAAACCATTATCTGGAAATCTATTCATAAATAGGACTAAACATAGGACACAAGCTCACACATTTAGACTGTGGGAAAGGAGATTTAGTCTAAGGCAAAGAAAAGTGTTTTTTACAATAAGTACAATAAGGATGTGGAATTCTCTACCTGAAGAGGTGGTTTTATCAGAGTCTGTACAGATGTTTAAACGGAAACTGGATGAATATTTGCAAAAAAAATAATATTCAGGAATATACTTTTTAGTATGTGAGGTAACCGTTTCTTGATCCAATGAGACATCTGACTTCCATTTTGGGATCAATATGCATTTTTTCCCTAGTTTGTTGCAAAGATTTAAAAATGTTTTGCCTTCTTTTGGATCAAAAGCAAAAAACAAATGTGAGTAAGACTTGATGGATGCATGTCTCTTTTTAGCTTATGTAATTATGTAACCTTTTATTTATTTATTTTTATATTTTTTTATATCTCCAGAATCAGCATTATCTCTCCCTTATAAATGCTTGAAAGGGCAGTCTAAGTACCATAACTACCACATGAGTCCCCTTGTGCCATCCTACAGTGAGTAGTCCAACCATTTTTGAACAGTTTGACACTTACCTGTGTCCCTCGGGTGTTCGCTGCACTTCTTGCCATTTGGATATTGCTAAAGTGCACGTTTCCACGTCATTTGAGAGATATTTATTTATATTTGGATATCATTCATTGACTTAGTGTGTCGTGTCTGCTGTAGTGATGATGGTGCTTAGACTACCTTTTTTAATCTTTATGTATGTCTATCTGTCTATAAACATGTCAAGGTACAATTGACATAAAGCTGCAGGTTTAACACATTTTAAGAACCATTTAATCTCACTATAAATATAGGACTTAGATAAGTAAGTGATCATGCATTGTGTTGAAAAAGTTAATGGAGATAGTTTAACATGTTTAGGATTAAGGCAGAGACACATTGTGATTATCTTCAAGTCTTTCATGTGCTTCAATCCCTTGTACCTTCACATTTCTTTTGTACCAACATATCACTTTAAATCCTTCTAAGATTTGTCTGCACTGCTATATTGATCTCAGATGCAATGTGGCTGTCACTTAATTAGATGAGTATTTCCAACTGTGAAAGGGGCCATCTTGATACAAAACTACAGCATTTAAAATCCTCATTGGCTGGTATTGAAAAAAAGAAAATTGAATCTAATAGAATGCAGTGACAAAGGAAACCAATCATTTTCATATGGTTTGAACATTGTGGCTAATTATCTCACAGCATTTCACTATGGATGGAAAAGGAAATGATTGAATTGTCTAATTATGTATAATTTTCTCCATATTCTTCTTCGCACTAGTTTCTATTACAAGAGATAAGCATATCTCTGGTAAATGAATATTTAGTAAGCAGAGCTAGTTTTTTCCCCCCTTTGTAATATAATTGAGACTTTCATTGAACCTACTTTACTCCATTACTAAGTAAAAAAAAAAAAAGTGTGGCCATTTTTTTTTAAATGATCATTTTGGGATTTATTCCGTTTTCAAACTACCTTATAACAGTGTAAATAAATGAGATTACAAAAATAGTAATTACTATTTCCAAATTTTAATACACTCAACCTACAGATTACAAATCCACACCGAATACACATAAAGTATGAAAATCTGGGGTTATCATTGATCATGGTGCCTCTTGATTAGCAGAAACCCCCTTCAGATTATCTGTCCTCTCACTGCAAAACATAGGGATTCGATAGTGATTTTAAATTAAGAAATAATTGCCTATAAGAGTCTGTACTTTTTACCATCTTTTATAAATAGGATATACTGTGTGGGAGCAATAAATGAAAAGATGGATATTAAGTTACAGAGCAAAAATGTCAGAGTTACTTTTGTTCTTCAAAGATCACTAGAGTCACCAAGACCACTTCATCTCAATAAAGTGGCCTGGGTGTAGTAGTCCTGTCTGTTTAACCTTGCAATGTAAAACATAGATGTCTTTTTTACAATATGCAGGGCTGAATACACCAAACGGCCACTAGAGGTGCATCCTCTGCACTGGCAGAATAAAAAACATTCACATGATGTGGAATCTTATAGGAAAGCATTGAATACAGGGCTGGCCTATGGGGAAGCTTGGATGACAGACATTTACTGCGCATGAACAATATGTCCCAAATGTTACTCTATGAGCAGTATTTGATTTGACTATCGCGGAGGAGGCCATGCTGCGGGAGGTGGAGAGAAGAACAGCCCCGAGGAAGCCTTGGCATTGGAAAAAAAGGTTAGTAAAACTTTGATTTTATTAATATTTTGGCAAACAGGAGGGAAAGGCGGCTACTATAGATATGGACAGGGACAGTACAGCTTTGTATTCCTAACGCTATACAGTTACTTCAACTACCAAACAAGCAAAATGATGCCGAGTTACCAAGGGATTTAACTGTTATTGCAGGATTTAACTGCAATTACAGCTTTTTAAGAAAAATATTATTAGTCTATTTCCATTTTTGTTTTTCAAGAAAATAAATTAAAGGCTGGTTGGCTATTTTGAATTAAAATCTGTTATCTTTTCAGCTGTTCACTATATCTATGTTAAACAACAATCAATGGTGATGTAGTTACAACTAGAGTTGAGCAGACACCTGGATGTTCGGATCCGGCAGGTTCGGGTGCAGCAGGTTCGGCCAAACTTTGAAAAAAAGTCCGGGTTCGTGCTCGAACTTGATCCCGAACTTGACCCCGAACCTGAACCCCATTGAAGTCAATGGGGACCCGAACTTTTGGGCACAAAAATGCCTCTAAAAAACTCCTGGAAAGGGCTAGAGGACTGCAAAAGGAAGTAAAATAGGGGTAAGAGTAGGACAAGTGCCCTGTAAACAAATGTGGATAGGGAAATCACTTACAATAACATAAAAATTAAAAATACAGCTGAGCCATTAAATAGAACTAGATGGAATCTTTCATTTTAGCTTTGGAAGAACATAAATCAAAATCTAAAGCATGGCTGTCAGGAGGATCACCAGAATTATCAATTTGAGAGAGGGTTGGAGTGCAGGGTATTCTCTTTCATTGTTCAAACTGAGCTCAACTCCTGATGCATGGAGAAAAGGCCTTCACAAGCCTCTGCTATTGTGTACATAGTTTATACTAAGTGACCCATAGTTTGAGGAGGCGGTGACCGTGGCGGTGTAGGTGGAAGCGGCGGTGAAGGAGGAGGAGGTAGCCAACACTGATTTTTATAGATATATATATATTTTAATTGGGGTAGCCCCCAAAATATTGGGACATATAAAAAAAGACAACTCTGTTCCGCAGAGTAGTTGTTGACATTATAGTTTTGCAGGCACTTTGTTGACTCTAGAGAACCTCGGGCCAATCACACATCCCCGCGACAGCGACTTTGCATTCGGATGTCATCCATATCAACTTTCGAGGCCAGTTTCTGCGCCTACCATGGTGACCACGGGTAACGTGGAATCAGGGTTGGATTACGGAGAGGGAATCTGAGAAACGGCTACCACATGCAAGGAAGGCAGCAGGCGCGCAGTGACCCACTCCTGATGCAGGAAGGTAGTGACATCAAATAACAATACAGGACTCTTTAGAGGCCCTGTAATTGTAATGAGTCCACTTGAAATCCTTTAACTCTGATCAATTGGAGGGCAAGTCTGGTGCAGAGCGACTGACCAGTGTGTGCTGCAGCTGAAACTCCACTATCGCCTGCTGCTGCTCACACAGTCTCATGAGGCAGTGAGCGGGAAGGCCGAAGTTCGCTGCAGCGCAGACAGGCGAGCAGCAGCAGGGTGAGAACGCCAAAAGCGCGCCCAGACGGCCCACACTTTCTGCAGCAGCTCTGATATATCAGGGTATACACTGTGGCATCACAAAAGGCCACCCAGAACTGGCTCAATTCCCATCAAGCAAAGTTCCCGGCGGAGATCACCCAGCTCGTCATGCTAGAGCACTTTTTCAATGTGCTCCCCAACGAGAAGGCGACGATGCAATCGTATGTCAATCCATATCAACTTTCCATGCCATTGACTGTGCCTTACATGGTGACCATGGGTAACGGGGAATCAGGGTTCCATTCTATACAGGGACCCTGAGAAATGGCTACCACATGCAAGGAAGGCAGCAGGCGCGCAAATGACCCACCCCCGATGCAGGAAGGTAGTGACGACAAATAACAATACAGGACTCCTTAGAGGCCCTGTAATTGTAATGAGTCCACTTGAAATCCTTTAACTCTGATCAATTGGAGGGAAGTCTGGTGCAGAGACACTGACCCGTGCGTGCTGCAGCAGAAACTTCACTATCGCCTGCTGCTGCTCAAACAGTATCTGTGGGCACGTTGCATATGAGGCAGTGAGCGGGAAGGCCAAACTTATGCTGCAGCGCAGACAGGCGAGCAGCAGCAGGGTGAGAACGCCAAAATCACGCACAGCCGCTACAGTGAAATAACATCCTGTTCCAAGTTGCGGATCAGTCTGGCGATGGCTTCTGGTATCCAGTACTCTTTTGCATCAGGGTCCTGTGTATGTGCTCAACACCAGGGGGCGTGCGGTTACCCTGCACCAGACCCTGCTAATCCATTCCACACTGTGACTCCTAACTTCAACATCAGGCATGCTGGGTCCCGGTCGTCCGACCGCCACCCAGACAGTGTCTGGGTCCTGGTCACCGGACTGCCCACCTGACTGTGAAACTATGAATGGATCGTTAAATCTGGTACGAACCCGAACTTTGCAGTTCGGGTTCGCTCAACTCTATTATGGATCTTTTGATCGCTACATGTATTACTTGGATAACTGGTAATTCTCGAGCTAATACATGCCGACGTGCGCTACGGGATGGCCGCTCTGCTTTTGCACCCTGCTCCCTCTTATGATGTGCTGGTGCCTCTGTGCGACCAGCGCCTCTTCCTCCAAACTGCACACATTCAGTTCGGGTTCGCTCAACTCTAGTTACAACAAATAAAGTATAATAAAGTAAAATAAATATATACTGTCTCATCAGTGGAGGGACTAACGATTAGAACATAATGATTAACTTTGACCACACATTGTATTTGAGCCTTGTTACTATCCAGTTATAAATTAAATTAAAACATTCTTAATTTCACTTGAAAACAATTAAAAAAATAAAGAAAAAACAGAAATGCAAAACAGGAGGAACATATTTGAAAAGCAATTAAAATGATATGTAATGTCATGTTAATCATTATTACTAGACGTTCACCTGTGGATTTAATTAGTTATTACATTGTTCTGCTGCGCAGTAATTAGTAATCTTCAATCAGCGTCAAGGGAATTTACCCATAAATCCTGATTTCATCCTGTCTAATGACTCAGATATTCAGTCCCATGAAACGACTTCTTCATATGTCAGATTATTGTTTGACATAAAGGCTTGACACCAAAATAAACTGGAAATAAAAGAGATAGAATTTTGATTGTACATGACAATTGCTTATATTCTTATGGCACGCATTTGTATTCATTACTTTGCCAGCCATCACAGCAAACCATCATTCGATGATTGATAATTTTTAATGAACATCATGGGACATTAAACGAGCCAAGGTTCCATTTTCAGAAGCAGCGCAAATACTTATTTGCACCCAGTCTAATTATTATAATACATTGTAATTTATAATCTATCTCTCGTGACGAGTTTGGATGCTGACAGCACCATGTTAGCTGACGATCAAGCTCCTATACCTTGTCTCAGGCATTTAAAAAAAATGATCCCTTAACTTTTCAGATTTCCGCTCAAGGTGCATCAAGCATCAAGTGTTCTCTGTCTTCAATCTTTGTACTTCTTCAGATGTATGTATTTTAACAGATGGATGATGTAAGTAATTTTCTTGGTAAACTCCAAAGACAGAGGGATGAGGGAGCTGGTTTTATTATTTTTTCATACATTTATTCTGCGTTAAAGTGGCACTGTCATGTTATTTCTCTTTCAGATAGCTTGTATCTTAATGAATTTTCCCTTTTATGTCACTTACCTTTATTTATATTTATTAAATGTTCTTTGCCTTAAGCTCTGCCCATTGCCAGAATTTGCCAGATGATGGCCCACGTGAGAAAAAAAAACTAAGGTCAATTTCAAAAAAGATCCCTTTGTTATTTTTGAAAAAGAAATTTCAAAAAAGAACAAAATGATATAGATGGACAAAAAGGGATTAACCACATAAGGAAATTGTGATGTCACATGGGGGGGCGGCAAACTTTACTTTTGCCTAGTGCGGCAAAAATCCTTGCACCGGCCCTGGCTGGAGGGGGCTGTGTGAGCTGTGCCCCATGGTAGTTAGAGGAAAAGTGTATGTGTGACTGTCTGCTTGTGACTGTTTGATGTTGCCTGTAACCGTGTGTGACTGTCTGACTGTCTGTGACTGTGTGCATGTGACTGTCTGCTGCTGTCATGTGTGTGTGTCAATGTATATATGACTGTCTGTGACTGCATATGTGTCTGTGTGCGTGTGACTGTCTGCCTGTAACTGTGTGTGACTGTCTGTCTGTAACTGAGTGTGTGACTCTCTGCCTGTAAATGTGTGTGTGGGGCTGCAGGGATTTTGTAGAAGGGGGCATGGGTTTTGTATTGGGACAGGAGTCTTTATAAGGGGGGATAAGCAGGGGATTTGTGGAAGGGGGTTGCGGGGGTTTGTAGACGGGGCAGTACAGGATTTGTAGAAGGGGCAGGACAGAGGTTTTGTAGGAGGGGCAGGGCAGGACAAGGGTTTTGTAGGAAAGGCTGACAACGGTTTTGCAAAGTTTACAAATTGTAAAAAAAAAGAAAACCTTTAACATTTTTACAGGTTTTTTTAGTGCCAAGCATAGGATCCGCCCCGGGTGCCAAATGCTCTAGGTACGCCCATGCATGATTCCCTTTTATTCCAGAAGTTTGGTCCTTAAGGGGTTAATCTATTTTCTAAGAAGAAAAAGGCTTGAATAAAAGATACCTACTGCACCATTTTCTGATAATGTTTGACTTCTTTTAAGCATCACAAGGGAATAGTTTCTTTAAGTGAAACTCTCCCTCCTATGATCTTTGCAATTTTGAAATTCACTGTACTCTTCTACACGACTATCTATCTATCTATCTATCTATCCCCTGTGGGTTATCCATATATTCCTCTGCTTTATATACAAACTAATACATATATTTGAAGAGATTTATATATTTTGGAATTGTTTTCCCTTTGATAAATGCTTAAAAATATATTTCAATGAGCTGCATGCCTGGAACCAATGTCTGAAATTATATCTAATGAAATCCTACCTTCCAGCTGTCTCTGGTTTAAGGATTCTAGTTGAATTGGTGGTTAGTTTGCACAAGACAGGTGGAATACAGTTACACCCATTTATCAGGCACTCTTTTTGACCTTAAGGGCAGAACATAGCAAAGTAAACTTAGGCTATTTGTAATGTGTGTAATACTTGGTTAGAACATACGCTGATGTCAGCTGTGCATATTGCGGATATATTATAGTATTTTTCCCTTAAGTATATGTTTATACTATGTCACAATATGCATTAATACATATTTGTATTCTACAATCCAGAGCTGGAATTATTACCTGTAACATGAAACATTACCATTCTAGTGTAGTTTAGAGTAATGTTGCACAATTTTCTATTTAAACCTCTCTGATAAAAATAATTCGTGATTAATTTTCTTGAACACAACTTTGAGTTGGGTTCCAAAATCCCCCCTCCCAAAAAAACTAACAAAAAAAAAGACCCTTGAAAGTCTAAATTTCTACTACTGCTGCTATTATGCACAAAAAACAAAACATGAAGCATTTTCCAAAGGGTTCACTGAGATCCACATAAATAGAGCATAAACAAGTCAGACATATTTGCACCCACTCTATTTTTAAATATTTAATGGACTTTGTACAAGTACTTGTACAGTGCACAATTACTTGTATGGCCAGGAGCAAGCATAGCTTCCTCGTATCTTAGTGCATATAAAGGGGTGGGCTAACAGCTGGAGCCATGTTTGCACTAGCTGGAGTTATAAGCAAGTGAGGAAAGGGTAACATGGGCAGGTTAAACAGAAATTCAAAAACTCATCTTAGAATTTTTGTGTTAGAACTACGTGTTTGCTGCAACTCCTCTTGATTTCTGTTTTTCATCTTCCCTGAATGAGATCTGCCTAAGCAATTAAATATCTGATTTTATGAGCCAATTCTTTCATTTGTTTTCAATAAGAGCTGAGCGTATCCCCAATACTGAGCATTTACCTTATACAGCTACTCATCAGAGATTTATAGAACCTGCAGAGAAACACTTGATAGCAGTTCTAGTCACTGAATGAGTTGCTGCCTAAGCTGATAGCAACTTATTGACAGCCCAAGTGATTGTTTGAGTTTAAATAGGTTGTATAGCATGTGTGTTCACCCTATGAATGACTTTGATTTTAATACATTATGTGCAAGGAGCATTGGTTATTATGGTGTTTGGACTTTCAATTTAACCTCTGAAAGAAGCACAGGCTGTTATGGTCGTAAGGAGATGATGGAAGTAATTGTCAATAATCTGACAAAATATTTCTGTTAAAATTAATAACAGAGCCCAGTGTTTAGGGGGTGCACAGAAAGCATAAATTAGTTGCGTAAGACTAGTTATAGAGCAAAATTTTGATGTACAGATACAACACACACGTAGTAGATCGCTGATGGTGCGCAATATTTTTTGGACTACTCAT